TCCTGCCGTACGAATGTACACTCTCGCGGCTTCTGGTAAAATTTACGCATCTCATTTCGTTATATGGTGGGTAACCAGTTAGTGGTGCGTCTTACCCGGTCCAGATACTGGGTTCCGAGAATAAAGAACTTGGTGAAGGCAGTGGTTAACTCCTGCAAGATCTGCGTTATCCACAAAATGAGATTGCAAGTCCAGATGATGGGAAGTTTTCCAAAAGAGCGAGTGTCTTTTTCCCGTCCGTTCACGTTCTCAGCGATGGACTACGCCGGTCCGTTTGATATAAAAAACAATGAAAAACGCTATAGTCGCGTACCTCGACTATCAGATACCCTTTACTCAGCTAATGGGACCAAAGGGAAATGGAGATATGCAAGCAGCAAAGCGAGATTGAAATGCGCCATTAAGTGTTAGAGTGGGCGTGGCAATTTTTTTTTGGATCAATCTATAGGTATTGACCAAAACATTTCAGTTAAAATTTTTTATCTAGCATGAAAATGGTGGGCGCCACAGGATTGGGCGGTTTGTGGGCGTTAGAGTGGGCGTGCCAAACGTTTTTGGGTTAATCGATAGGTATTGACGAGAACAATACGTTTCAGGTAACATTTTTATTCTAGCATCAAAACTGTAGGAGCCACGGTTTTGGGCGGTTTGCGGGCGTTGGAGTGGGCGTGGCACTGTGCTGAAACAAACTTGCGATGCCTAGTCCCAGTATTGTAGCTTGTATAGTTTCCGAGATCTAAGCGTTCATACGGACAGACGGACGGACGGACAGACGGACAGACGGACATGGCTAGATCGACTCGGCTAGTGATCCTGATCAAGAATATATATACTTTATTGGGTCGGAAACGCTTCCTTCTGCCTGTTACATACTTTCCGACGATTCTAGTATACCCTTTTACTCTACGAGTAACGGGTATAATTATACCGGAAGAGCTCGTCTCATTACAAAAGGGTATGTGTTGGTTTTCGTTTGTTTTTGTACCAAGGCCATCCATCTAGAGCCTATGTCCGACTTAACGAGTGAAAAGTTTCTTGCCGCTTTCGCTCGTTTCGTATCTAGAAGAGGGTGTCCTCGCCAAGTCCAGTCCGACAATGGAAAGACCTTCGTCGGCGCCTCCACCGTGCTTTCCCGAGACTTCCTGCAAGTCGTTAAGGAGTCTGTGACCGATGCGTATAGTCATCAGCAGCTCAGCTGGCAATTCCTTCCTCCTGGGGCACCCCATATGGGAGGCCTATGGGAAGCTGGTGTCAAGAGTTTCAAGACCTTTTTTTACAAGTCCACCGCTACACGAAAGTACACCTTTGAAGTGCTGTCCACGCTCCTAGCGAAAATCGAAGCTTGTCTGAATTCCAGACCGCTATCTTCCATGTCCGAGGATCCAACTGATCTCTTAGCGTTGACACCAGGGCACTTTCTTGTTGGATGACCTCTTCTATCCATAGTGGAACCTGAAGTAAATGGCAACAATTCCGCAATCGATGGAAGGATGAGTACCTTAAGGAGCTCCACAAGCGCAACAAGTGGCAAGTCCCCACAGAAAATCTGCGTGTCGGCGATATGGTCGTTATTAAGGATGACAATTTGCCCTCAAATGAGTAGCAACTCGGACGAATAGACTACGTTTTTCCGGGAGCCGATGGCAAGGTCCGCGTATTCGACATTCGTACGACACGCGGCATTGTCAAACGTCCAGTGACCAAGGAGGTTTTTCTTCCAAGAGAGTTGTCCAAATCTACCTCGTAACGAGCCGCGTTTCTTACACACCTTAGTCCGTAGCCATTATCCACGTCATTGTTAATCAGCCCTTTTTGTTTTTTCCTTATCCACACTCTAAACAGGAAAATGGCTCCCCGTCCACGTAGCGCTCAGGCATTGGATATCAGACGTACGAGAGGTAATCAGTCCTACCGATGCCGAGTCTGCCGCGGAATCCATCCTCTTCGGAAGTGTCAGAGGTTCCTAAAGCTGAGCGCAGAGAAGCGGCTGCGGGCAGTTCTTATAAACAAGTACTGCGCGAACTGTCTCGCACACGAGCACTCCACTGGGAGCTGTCGTAGCGGTGACCGGTGCAGAACACACGCTACTCCACATGCACGAACTTGTTTCCCGGAAAAAGTCCGGCTCCAAGCAACAGCCCGCTTCTCCGCAGCGTTCGCGCCGGCAAGATCCGCCGGCAATACCGCCAACTCGTCAAACGCTTGCCCCTCTACCGCGCACAGCATCCTCGACACCAGCTCCGTCGCTCGCGTACTTCTCCAGCGTCATAGCGTCAACGTCCTCCGACTGCTTTGGTGATCGTCGAGACCGGGGAGTAGACGTTCGACAAAAACCGTGGGCGATGAGAGCATCTGCACGGGACGATTCGGTCAAAGGTCGACGAGGACATCAAGCTGGAGGTGGTCCTCAAGATCGAGCAGAACGTGCGCATCCGCACCCCCAACCGGGCGCTCAGTGAGAGCGCAGTAAAGAAGTTTAAGGAGCTACCGCTTGCGGATGAGAATTTCCATCGGCCAGCCACCATTTCCTTAATCCTGGGCGCGGACGTCTACCCGAAGGTGATACAGCCGGCCTCCACATGGTCGACGAGGGACTGCCGTAGCCCAGAAGACTGTGTTAGGGTGGATCCTCTCCGGCGCATGTACGCAGGCTTAAGTCGTAGGCGACTGGCCGAGGTTCCGTTTCTTTTTGCAACGCTAGCGATTGCAAGGGGGCGGAATGTTCAGGCCCACTGTCCGGCGAATCTGGACCGGCCCGCTATCCAACTGCACCGCTCTTTCGCTCTCCCACTCTCTCGCGCTCCGCTCTCCCGCTCTGTTCCAGCTCCCCTCCGTGAAGTCTCCGCTGCGCTTTGGAGCGCGGAACTGAGCTTAGACTTAGGCAGGTCAATTTTGGCATTTATATTGAATAAACCGCGTTCGCACCCCCGCCTAATTTGTACAGTGAACCTTTTGCGTGATTACTTTTCGGTCAAGGGGTACTTCGCGTTTCGAGTGGTTTTCTCCCCTAAGCTTAGACTCTTTCCGCCGCACCAGCAGCAAACCGCCGAAGCCCAGAGCAGCAGCGCGCCGACGCCGCCAGTTCCCACGCCATTCTACCAGCGCCACCGGTACCCCGCTATCCCCGGCGTAAAATCTTTAATAGATAATTTCTTCCAAGCACTGTTTACATCGATGGAGTCAGTTTCAGTTGTATCCAAATCAAGCGTATAGATCGAATGATGTAATATGTCTTGAAGGTGTAAATTATAACCTGATCCATTGGCTGCAGAAATAATGTTGTATTAGTAAGTAAGTAATTTGCTCTTGTCTATCCCTTTAAACGAACGGGGATTAAAAGACTTATAAACAAGCATTGGCTTTACTTGAAAGTCGCTTGATGCATTACTACACAGCAAAAGTGAAAACGATCTTTTTGTGCCTTAAAGCCGGGAGCTACTTTTTGGGTATCAACGCAAGGGAAACAAATTGTGGGATGATATAGGTCTTCTGGAACAGCAAGTGCGTCAATTCTAGGTACCGGGTCTTCAGACGGATCTTAAACAAATGCAAGGTTTAATTGTCTATTTAGTGATTTACGTATAAAGCTTACTTGCTTTTAACAGACAATCAACAAATTCATAGATAAAGGTGAAAAGAGAAGTGAGTCAGGGAAAGGGGAACAAGGGCAATCAGCACCCCACCCCGCCTACGAGGAGTGCGATCGATTTTATACGTATTAAAATTGTTGAACAGAACTTCTGAGTCAGATATATCAGGTTTCAGCCAAGTCTCAGTAAAGGTTTAGTACATTAAACTGTTCAGGAGGAACTGATATTTTAAATGAAGATGTGAATGATGGGAAGATGGAAATTCTTGGTGTATAAATTCCAAATCATCTGCAGATGTGGTTTCGGGGGTTAAACGAAACAGAAATAAATGCTTCCTAATGGAACAACCGAGAGTCTCTTTCTTTCCCCACCAGCAATCTCAACATCGTTTGTCTTATTCTCGGGACCAGCTCCTACAGAGCTTACTTATCCTTTGAGCACAGAAAGCTCAGTAGTGTTTGACCCATCAGGCTGTATAGCGGAACCAGGGTCTCCTCCAGAACTTTTGGTAGCCATGGGTACTGCCGGCAGCGAAGTTTTAGACCCCCAATTCAATCCTCTACTCTGCCAATAACTTCAGTACATTTAGGATGTATGACTGTATTGCAAAGCCGACAGTAAATAAAAACGTCAAAAATGTTGAAACACAGAAACACAAAACTTTAAGAGCGCGTAGAGACTGCAAAAGCGAAAGAGCGCGAGAGATTAACTTCGACAGAGCGTGCCCTGCGAAATACGAACAACATATTGATGACAACAGTTTAAATGAAAAGAAATAGATAATTGAACACAAAAAACTGATTCAAACAAAAGCATTCCTGGTTTGTTAGGCTAGGTTAAAAAACAGGACTAATATTCCTAAAAAAAATTGACAAAATCACAGAGCACAAGATATACGCAACCGGTCACAAGCGACGCTAAATCTTCATTACTTAAATGAAGAAAACAATATTTCATGTTACAAGCACATTTTTCTTACTTTTGCCCCACAGCGTATTTGTGTAATAGTATAACGACGATTAGCCAAATAACTTTGCTTAGAAGATAGGTAGGGCAGTAAATAAACTGGTGAACTTTTAGGACTAACTTTATCATAGGTCGTTCGAATAATCAATGTAGAAGTGAAATTTTGGCAATCCTAGGCGTGCCAATAAAGTAATCGACGCCAGGTGGTACGATGGATTGGTGTGAAATCTCGGGAGCAGTCGCTTGGCAGCTTGCATATCTACATCTCGCTCGCACTCCCCTTAGCTATGTAACGGTATCAGATAGTCGCGGCCATCGAGTGTATCGACCTCTTTCGTTCAAATGTGGATTGATGTGCCAAATGATAATAAAAAGGTTTTGAGGCGGTATTTAGTAAATAGTTCTCAGCTACGGGTGAGAAATTCGATTATGGTCAGTACTTACAGGATCGGTAACAATAACGCCTACTAATAGCGGCGTAAGGAGCGGAAATATATTTCCAATGCCGTTAACAATGGCCATCAGCATGCCTGAGTGGTTGGGCGACATGTCGATGATGGTCAGGATGCTACCTATTCCAGACCCGGCGTTTAAGCCAGCATTGATCGTCATCAGAGCTATAGCCAGACTGGTCTGACTGTTGTCCAGAAAGCCAGTTCCGATAAGAATTGCCGCCGGCCCCCAGAACGAGACGGTGTTAATTGCCTTGCGTAGCGTGGTTAAGGACATCCAATGCCGAGACATGGCCACGTCAGCGAAGACTAGGTATATATAGGACATAACCCACATGGCCAGGAAGGGCAAGGCCGAGTAAAGCGCATTGCTTTTGATGTCCATTTTCAGGACGCCGTGCAAGTAGAATGGTGTCTGCAGCTGCATTATGGAATTGGCCCAGCCCTGAGCGCCCCGCACGATCAATAGTGCATAGAAGGGAACGGAAGTCCAGATGGCACGCCATGGGATGGGAATCTTCTGGCCGTGGAAGCCATCGCTCCGCTTCGTTGAACGTTCTATGTGGTCCTGTTCCCGGGCCCCGATCAGCCGATGGCTAGGGGCGTTATTTGCACTGAGTGTCACCCAGAGGAGACACCAAAGCCCACAGGTGCCTGCCGACACGTAGAAAATTCCCGGCCAACCCATGGAGCTGTTTGCTATCAGACCACTGCTGGCCATAGCCAGAACTGACCCGCAGTCGGCCCCTGAGTAAGCAAAGGCGCCCAGCCGGTTGCGATCCTCCGGCGGAGACCACTTGGCCAGGTGCTCGTGAATGCATGGAAAGATTAGACCTTGAAAGAGGCCTCCACGATGCGTATGGTGCAGAAGGCCTGCCAGCCGCCCCAGGCTACGCAGAAAGGCGTTAGAGCGCTTAGGACGGCCGTTCCCAGCGTTGGGATGAGCAGAACCGCCTTAGCCCCAAAGCGCCGAACCAAAAAACCGGCGGGAAATTGGGTGATGATGTAGCCCCAATAAAAGCAAGACAGGACGTACGACTGCTGCGCTCCTGACCAATCGAACTCCTGCAAATGGTTAGAGGTTACTGACCGACGGAGCGTCTTTCGAATCGCACTCACCGGAAAATTTTCATTGGTGGTCGCTGCATCCGTCATGGCCACTACGCCCACGCTAACGCCGAGCCGTGCTGTGTAATTCACCACGATGGCCAGAAAAAGCAGAAAGGCCTGCAGGTGACGTATGCCAACAACGGGACCTAGATATAAGCGATAGAGAAAATAAGTCTTGAATAGTTTCCAAACAAAAAAAGGAAGAACCCTATAGTCGAGTACCGCGACTATCAGATGCCCGTTACTCACTTTAGGGACCAAAGGGAAATGGAGATATGCAAGCAGCAAAGCGAGATTGAAATACGCCACCTACCCGTGATCTCAATATATGGTTATTTAAGCGTTATGGGCGTAAAAGTGGGCGTGGAAAACTTTTTTTGGATCAATCTATAGGTATGTAAGAGACTAATACATTTAATTTACAATTTTTTATCTAGCATGAAAATTGTGGGTGCCACAGGCCTAGGCGCTTTGTGGGCGTTACTGTGGAAGTGGCATATTCGCGTAACAAACTGCGTACAAGGCTATGGAATCTAAATCTGAAATGTTAATTCTATATCTTTGATAGTTTCCGAGATATCAGCGTTCATATTTGCGATTTTATGAAGTTTGTGGGCGGTTTGTGGGCTTTAAAGTGGGCATTGCAAACTTTTTTTGGGTCAATTTATAGGTATTGATGAGAACAATACATTTCAGTTAAAATTTTTATTTTAGCATCAAAACTGTAGGAGCCGCAGTTTTGGGCGGTTTGTGTGCGATAGAGTGGGCGTGGCACCTTGCTGAAACAAACTTGCGCTGCCTAAGAAGCTCAGGAATCTGCGTGCCAAGTCCCAATAGCGTAGCTCTAATAGCTTCTGATATCTCAGCGTTCATCCGGACGGACAGACAGACGGTCAGACGGACATGGCTAGATCGACTCGGCTAGTGATCCAAAGTGATTCAAAAATAAATTTAAAAATTTTTTTCAATCCGTTGCTTATAATTCTCAACTGGGTTCGTACACCTAGACTCCCTGTCAGAAAGAAAAAATCGAAATAAACTCTCAAAGTGTTTTTTTTTTAAAGTGTCTTGCTCAAACAGTAAGCATTTCTGTTTGCCCCACTTAGGAATCTGTTTTTCCGAGAAACTTTGATTTTAGGAATCTGGCAAATATATCTATATCATATCTTCATATTAAATATGTGTTGACTTTTCTAATAATGACAAGGAAGATCGCTATGGTCGAGTACCTCGACTATCAGATAGCCGTTACTCAGCTAAAGGGACCGAAGGGAGATTGAGATATGCAAGCAGCAAAGTGAGATTGAAATGCGCCACCTACCCGCGATCTCAATATATGGTTATGTGGGCGGCAAACAGATTTAAGCGTTATGGGCGTTTGAGTAAGCGTTGCTAAATTTTTTAGGTCAATCGATAGGTACTACTGACGAGTCTAATACATTTCAGTTAAATTTTTTTTTTTTCATGAAAATTGTGGGCGCCACAGGCTTGGGCGGTTTGTGAGCGTTACAGTGGGCGTGGGATATTCGCGTAACAAACTTGCGTTGCGTACAAGGCTAAGGAATCTAAATCAGAAATATGAATCCAAATCTCTATCTTTGTTAGTTTCCGAGATATTCGCGTTCATACGGACGGACAGTCAGACGGACAGACAGACGGACATAGCTAGATCAACTCGGCTAGTGATCCTGATCAAGAATATATATACTTTATAAGGTCGGAAATGGTCCTGCCTGTTAAATACCTTCCGACGAATCTGGTATACCCCTTTAACGGGTATAAAAATAGTAACGCTTGAGGTCCATTAGATCTACATATGTGTATGTGTTTGTTACCAAAGTAGAGAAGTTAAAAGTACGGAAGTCAATGCTATCATAGACAAAAAAGTAATGGTTATACAAAAATTGTAGTTACCATTGCTTCTTTTAAAATCTACTTTGTTGTCCATACATGCCACGTTGTGAAATCGAAGAATGGTTAAAGAATTGGTAACTTTCTAAAGATTGGTTAAGGAAATTCGACAGAACGATTAGAATAAAAATAATCGCGAATACTTCAGAGAAAGACTTTCTTTGTGAGAATATGCGACTTTCAAAGATGTCCAAAATCTTAAAGTAATATTAGGAAATTTCGATTTCTATCAAAAACAGCAAAGACACTTTGCTACTCCAGTTAAAAAGCATTGCTCCTACTGAACCTAAGCTGCTTTGACACCGGTCTCAACAGTTATTTTGGGACGCTTTCCGCTCCCACGCCAAGCTCTGAAAAGCAGCAAAAGGAAGATGGAGATACACAAGCAGCAAAGCGACATTGTAAAGCGTTACCGTATAAACAAAAACCATTATATTTCAGTAAAAATTAAAATTTGTTTACCAAAAAAACTTTAGGAGCAATAGATTTGGGCGGTTTTGGGGCGAAGCTAAGGAATCTAAATCTGACATCTAAAGTCTCTAGCTCTTTAAGTTTTCGAAACCACAGGGCTCACACAGACATTGCTGGATTGCCTTGACTAGGGATTCTGATCAAGAATATGTATAATATTAGATATTATTATAATATATAATAATATATATTCTTGATAGGCTCGCAAACGCTTCCTTCTACTTGTTACATGCTTTTCCCCGACTACAATGTACACTTTTACTCTACGAGTAAAGGGTATAAGTATAGTTATACATAAATAAACAAGAAAGGAAGTTAATTTCGGCAAGCCGAAGCTTGTATACCTTTGCAGTTATATTTATTAAATTTAAAATACAAAAAATGATATTCCCAATAGTATATATGTCAGAAAACACCAAAGCTATAATTTGTTTCATATAATTTTCCCACCAATTTTCCGATTGTTCCTATGGCAGCTATATGATATAGTCGTCCGATTTTGATAAAATTAAATTCGAAATTCAGAACTAATTAAAAATTTGTATTTCCAAGCGTAGGACGTTATATGTTAAAAAACACGGAAGCTATAAATGTTATTTCCAAGCTTAGAAGGTTATATGTTAAAAAACACCAAAGACATTATTTAAAAAAAATTTTTTTTGCGGGAGCTGTAAGGCATAGTTGTTCGATCTGGCTGGTTCCGACTTATATACTACCTGCAAAAGATATAAGGCTTTTGGGAAAGTTTCAGGCCGATAGCTTTTAAACTGAGAGACTAGTTTGCGTAGAAACGGACGGAGAGACGGGCATAGCTAGTTCGACTCGTCTAGTCATGCTGATCAAGAATATATATACTTTAAGGGGTCGGAATCGTCTCCTTCACTGCGTTGCAAGCTGCTGACTGAAATCAATATACCCTCTGCAAGGGTATAAAAAGACATATCCTAACATGTCTCTTTTTACATAACGACCGTGACAAGTGCTAGGAATTGTAAAATGTGAATTTTTAGACAAAAATTGTACAAATCTGTGACAAACAAAAAAGTTAAAAAAAACAAGGAAGAACGCTATAGTCGAGTACCTCGACTATCAAATACCCGTTACTCAGCTAAAGGCACCAAAGGGAAATGGAGTTATGCAAGCAGCAAAGCGAGATTAAAATGCGCCACCTACCGACGGTAGACAGGTTTAAGCGTAATGGGCGTGGAAAATTTCTTTTTAAATCAATCGATACTTATTGACGAGACCAATACATTTCAGTTAAATTTTTTATCTAGCATAAAAATTGAGGGCGTCACAGGCTTGGGCGGTTTGTGGGCGTTAAAGTGGGCGTGGCAAACTTTTTTTTTTGGTAAATCGATAGGATTTGATTAGAACAATACATTTCAGTTAAAATTTTTATTCTAGCATCAAAACTGTAGGAGCCACAGTTTTGGGCGGTTTGTGGGCATTAAAGTGGGTGTGGCACATTGCTGAAAAAAACTTGCGCTGCGTAAGAAGCTCAGGAATCTGCACGCAAAATCTCAATAGCTCTTATAGTATCCGAGATCTCAGCGTTCATCCGGAGAGACAGACAGACAGACGGACATGGCTAGATCGACTCGGCTAGTAATCCTGATCAAGAATATTGTTCGTACCCAAAGGTACTCAACATGACCACACCCAACAAATCAAGCAGAAGCCAAGTTGGGAACAGTACCAGGCGCTCAGTAGCACCCACTGCATATGAGAATGGCTGATCAGCATATTATATGTCTCACTAACTCACCGTCTCACCGACTCAGTCAGCACATTCTGCAGTGTCTGCCGAGCCAACTACACAAACTGCTACCATAATCAAAACTCCCTGACCTACCTACCTACTTTAGAATATAGCGCACTTCACTAATCATTACACTAAACTTTCGTCTTCCAAGTAGTATATAAACATGTGCCAAATGAAGACAGTTATCAACGCATCTCATAGCTCCGCGGTTCTACTTCCTACCTCTGGGAATAGGGCTCGTAGTACACTATCTCCACTAGCAGCTAACCTACGTTAGCTCAACCTCAACGCAGTTCCGCATCGCCTGTGGTCCGGCAACGCAGTAACCATCGTTACCATTGCCGCGGCGGGATCGTTCTGCCAGCAAAGCGTCCCCGTGCCAGCGACAAGTGCTCATTACCCCCTTGTCCCGCGGTGTGACCCGGAAGTGTCTACTTCGGTTAGGCACAAACATTGGTGACCCCGACGTGATCCTTTAACAACAAAGGATCACACTCAAGCAACCCCCTTCCCACTAAAGGACTCACAGCCTTATCCAGCTTCACAGGATACTCGTCTTCTTTCAGCGTCACAGGAACTTCAGCTTAATCCAGCTTCACAGGATACGCTTCGTCTTCCAGCGTCACAGGAACTTCAGCTTAATCCAGCTTCACAGGATACGCTTCTTCTTCCAGCGTCACAGGAACTTCAGCTTTATTCCAGCTTCACAGGATTCGTTTCTTCTTCCAGCGTCACAGGAACTTCAGCTTCATCCAGCTTCACAGTATTCGCTTCTTCTTCCAGCGTCACAGGAACTTCAGCTTCATCCAGCTTCACAGGATTCGCTTCTTCTTCCAGCGTCACAGTAACTTCAGCTTAATCCAGCTTCACAGGATTCGCTTCTTCTTCCAGCGTCACAGGAACTTCAGCTTCATCCAGCTTCACAGGATACGCTTCTTCTTCCAGCGTCACAGGAACTTCAGCTTCATCCAGCTTCACAGGATACTCAGCTTCATCCAG